AGAGGCGGGGCAGGGGTGGGGCCTCAGGAGGAAGAGGCGGGGCAGGGGAGCTTCCGGCACTCCTGCTGGAGTGTCAGGTTTTTAAATATTACCAAGTTGGCAACCCTACATACTGTCCCTGCGATCTTAGCACTCCGAGCTGCTGACATTCAAACAAAATATCTGCTAGCGTACCGGTGGGGTTGGAACTACATTTTCCCACAGTGGTTTATTACAGAGCAGTGCTCCAATATCCTGCAAGAAAATTAACTTTACCATCTCCTCCTGGTCCCGGGCCACCAGTAAATGAGAGCTCTTCGTTAAGCAGTCATCACGGCTACTGTTCCACATTCTATTTTCTTTAGACACCCAGAAACATTTTCCCTTGTACGGCAGCCAGTCCCTGGGGCAAAGTACGCACCTGGCGCCCTCTGGAGGGGGAATTGGAAAGAGCAGTCATTAATGAGTTGTTTGTATTACTGTAGCACCTACTGTAGGTGCTGATCAGCTGTTTGGCAGGTCAGGGAGGGGCTTGGAGGAGGGTGGAGAATGGTGAGCGGATGGGGGCAACAGGGAGAGGGTGGAGGGGACAGGAAAAGAGAGAGCGAGGGTGGGGCCTCGCGGGAGGGGGCGAGGGGATTGACATTATCAAACTGAAAAATTGCAATGGTCCTGGATCAAAATTGTTTGGAATTTTCATTTCCCAGGAAATGTCAAGAATTCAGCTCTTGGTTCTGAGGCTGATGAGGAAAAAAAAAATCCAAACGGTTGGAATTTCCCACCGAACAGAAATTTCCATTTCCCGGCAGGCTGTAATACCAGTACAGGGGCTTTGGGGCTGGGAGCGAATGGCTAAAAGCAGGTCCCACAGACAGCGCGGAGAAAAACAGGTTAAATAACAACCCACTGAAGATGCACCTACCCAGAAAAATGGAAGTCAGCGGCTGTGACGTTACCTGTTGCGCTGATTTGGGGTGGGTCACACAGGTACTGTTTCAGAGAAGACCATTTCTCCTGGCTGGCGACGCATTTACTTTCATTTCTGAGTCTCTCGGAGACCGCCTCACCTTCAGGGGCCAGTCCATTCCCTGAGGAGCCCTGAAAAACTTCAGCACAACATCCAGGTGAATGAGCATTGCTGGTTGTGCTTTAAACCATTACGAATGCGGGCCTGTAAATTACACCTCATTCAGTAGCGCTAGTGACTACGCTAGGGAAAGAGATGAGGGGACTGAAAGAAACAGATGGACTGGGCGTCTCCTTCGCTACCGGCGTTCAGCGCCTTCTCACTTTTCCTGTCTGTGTAACAAAGGTAAGGCCTTCCTGAGCAGCTCAGGTGAATTCATGCACTGGGATCCCGTCCGTTTCATTTTGTCCTGCTGTTGAGAATGATCAAGTTGTTTGTTGGCAAGTGTAACGGGCATGAAAACGAGCAAGAAAATTCCTACAATTCCCTAGCTTTTTCTATGTTCAACGACCATGGAGGTGCAGCGGGCAGCGCTCAAGTTAGGCAAATGTTTCAGCAAAGCTTGCTGGTGCAACTTCATCACCTCTGCCCCCCTGGTGCATCTGCGTTAGTATGATACGCAGGCTGTCCACACAGAACCCTGGCCTTATTCAGTGCACAGGTTGGATGGTGACTGCAGCAGGGATGCAGGGTTGACTTTGATTCATAGAAGGGGTTGGATGGTGGGCAGCGTGTGAGAAGCAAGGGGCTGCATATTGCACAAGCTACCTCTTACACTCAGCACCGGAGCCATTCAGTTTCCTAGATTGGCTGGAGCACCCCTGATTTCAGGCACCACATCCTCAGTGCCTGCTTCTATCTCCCACTTTCACTGAGCCGGGGAGCTGGGTGAATGGATATTTATGTGGGAGGCGCTCTAGGCTAGAGGTTGGCAAACTATTGCCTTGCGGC